CAATCATTCATTTGATCATAGCTGTAATTCAGGTATTGCAAATACAGTACACCATTGGCTCAATGGTTAACCCATTCACAATATAAAAGCTTTTTCTCTGTGTGTAACAGTAATTTCGTCTTATTTTTTAAAATATTTTTTAAAAATAATATAATTTATCTATGTAGTATTTTGTGTTAATTTAAAACACAAAAATCCATGCCAAATTTACCATTAAATGTTTATACGTATTTAAACATTTTTTTTAGATGTTTTTAAATTTTTTTAGATTTAGAAATGTTAAATTTTTAAAAAATTAACGATTTTTTTCAACTGTCCATAACTTTTTACAAAATTTTTGATTTGGATATATTTTTTTAAATTATTCATGTTTTAATGAAGTTTACTAAAAAAATTGTTTTGATTTTATTGTCATAATGTTTTATTTATTTATTTTATTAAAATTATTAAAAAAACTTGACTTAATTTGAAAGTCGTGGGCCAATTATGTTTTTAATTTTTAACCGATTTTAAAAAGATTTAAAAACCTAAGTTCAAAAATAATAATAATAAGTGAATACGGGCATTATAGCCTAGTAATTTACCGAATATAGAAATAAAATATTTAACAAAAATTAATAATTATTATTATAATTTTAAATTATTATTACGAACGAATTAAAAATAGTCTGCAACCTCGATATACTCGAGCAAAACCGATGATGGGAACTTCAAAATTGCATTGTGTGATTTGGAAATCACTGATTTTAAATAAAACTGAATCACTCAAACTAAAGGGTTTTTTAACTTCTGTAGAAAAAAATGATCTAAATTAGGTAAACGACAGAAAAAATAATTATAATAATAAATATAATTTTTATAATAAAAATATTGATCCAACAAAATAATAGGTACCTAGTATTTTTTCTCAATAGGTAAACAAATTATTATAGAACTTATTTTTAAATAACACGTTAAAATAATTCTAGTGCTCTTTAAGAAGATAATAAGTCTACAAACTTTTAAAAACGAAAAAAAAATAGTTGACATCTTTAAAAACGTGATTTTAATAGAAAATTAAATAAAATATCATGGCAAATTTTTTCAAAACCTGAAAAAAAAATTAAAACAAATTCCAAATCGATCAATTTTGTAAAAAGACATTGTCGATTGAAAAAAAAAATGTAAAATTTTGAAGAATTCAACATAAGAACTTTTGCTAAAAAAACTAAAAATAGCAGATAAAAATTCATTTGATAGGTTTTTGGCATGGAATATATTGTAATATTTTAAGATGAAATTAGCGGTAAACTGAGAGATTAGGTACGTCAATTATTTGTATTCCTTTGTATAAGGAACTATGCCGTGCTAAGTTATATCCCTGTATCTGCAATATTAAGTTCTAAAGAACAAAATATAATTTGTATTGTTTTTAACAATTAAAATAATATTTTGTACTGTAGTACTATGCTCCACAAATTAAAGAATTTTTTTCTTAGTTCCTAGGCGGATATATTTACAACATATAAAAATTTAAAACATCTTGACCTAATCAAACATGGCGAAAAAAAATAATTTTTTCAGGAAAAATAAAACGTTCATGCAAAAACAATAGAAGACACAAAAATTCTGATTAAATTTTTGAAATCAGCTTAGAAAGTTACCTCTAGAAACAAACCTTTAAAATCCAAAACTAAGATGTTATCCTAGCCTATCATCAACACAAAATTTAAGAAAAATCTGAGTCGGTGTGGTAAACTGCACTATTTGATCTGACTTGAAATAACATTGTAACAATTTTTGTGTCGGCTGGTACGTACTGGACTGTAAAAGAATTAATTCCATTTCAGGACAATAATAATTCATGAATCTTAGGAATGCCATTTTTAGCTAAAATATCAAAGTAAATCAGCCTTGAGAATGCTATAACTGTTTTACGAATGTTAATTTAAAATAGCATAAAACTTAAGAATGTCAACTTAAGTTAGACAACTTTTTAAAAAATGTCAACTTAAGCTAGACATATCTGTTTTAAGAATGTTAACTTAAGCTGCCAATTCAAGCCTAATTATGACTGTTTTAAAAATGTCAACTTAAGCATATATAACTAAACTGCGCACCACTCAATGTGTCGCGACCAAAAAGTTCGTTCTTTTTCAAAACGACATAACTTTTTCGTTTCTTGAACGATTTTATTTTGGTCTGTGATGTCTCTTAGCCTCATCCTCTGGCAATCATGATATATATATGAAGCTTAAGGTTCTTCAAGTAAATTTTCTACAGGGTGATATGTTAAACGGTGAAAAATTTCAATAACTTCATCCAAGCCCCGTTTGTAAAAAAATAATTTTTTTCTCGTTTTTACTTTGAAATAATGAAGTATTATCTTACCTTGAAACAATTTTCAAATTTTTGGAATTGGAATCTTGACAAACGAAAATATGATTTTTTTTACAAAAGAGTACCTACATTAAAGGATTTTTTGTAGGCAATTTAACAGCCGGGAATTGTTTTCGAATTTTGATTCTTAGTGATTTTGGTTTTATCTGAAACTTAAATTTGACAACTGAATTACAATCAGGAGGTCAAAATTATAAAGAAAACATGTCACGAACGTAAATATCGGTTCAGGATTAGTTTTCGCAAATTTTCACCAAAATGTCATTTTGAAAAAGTTGTATTTGCCTAATCCCCTCTGAAAATAATGGAAGTTTGTTGCTTGTCGCTTGTTCAGAATTATTCAAGGAACAATCTTTCACCATTTTATCTTCTTGTTCTTAAAAAGACTGAGTCTATTGCCTACCAAAAACCCTTAAATGTACTCTTTTGGAAAAAAAAAATCATATTTTCGTTGCTAAGATTCCAATTCGAAAAATTTAAAAAACATTTCAAGGTAAGACATAAAACTTCATTATTTCAAAGTAAAAACGAGAAAAAATATATCTTTATTCAAACGGGGCTTGGATGAAGTTACTGAAATTTTTCACCGTTTTACATATCACCCTGTACGAAATTTACTTGAAGAACCGTGAGCTTCATATCTATAGCATGAATTGCCAGATGATGGGGCTAGTAGACATTACAGACCAAAATATAACCGTTTAAGAAACAAAAAAGTTATGTCGTTTTGAAAAAGGACGAACTTTTTAGTCGCGACACATTGAGTGGTGCGCAGTTTATTTTAAGAATGCTAATTCAAGCTGGATGCAACGATTAAAGCTAAAAAAATGATGAATCGTTATATGGAAATCATTAATTTATTAAGCATTATTGATCGTTAAATAAAACACATTTTTGGTAAACCTCCGATTAACCCTTAATTAAAGGAGGTAGATTCTTTTTCAAATGAACAGATACGATTTAGGGATGAAGTTTTCTTGTCTCAGGGGTTGTTGGGGCACCATCGAAAAACTTTTTTCTTTCCAGCCACCTCTGTAGTCAGTCACTGACGTCTGAAAATTAAGAGTTAAAACAAAGCTTACAATTTTATCTAATGTTTAAATAATACTTACCCAAAATGATATATGAAACCAAATACGGTATAGGAGTTTGTGTATTAACGCTCTACTTTAATAGCAATGTAATTTTTTAGAAATTATCTAAAACAAATTTTATCTGGACCTTTCGAAAAATTGTTTACCACTCTACTTTAAATATTGCTAATCTCAAAAATCAATTTTTTGACTTTTCTCGGATCGCGTCACATATTAGTTTATAATGAATATTTATAATATTTTAAAAGGAATTTGTATTGTTATTAATTATGAAAATAAACAACAATATTTAATAATAAAGGCATTACCATCCCTTTCAAATGTTTATTGTCATGTAATATAAAAAATATAACATAAATATAATTAATTTTGTAATAATTAAGGAGGAGGAGGTTATTAGCCAATTAAGATTAAACAATATACCTAATATATAAATTATTTATAGCCATACTGTAAAATATAATTAATAAAAAACTAATTAATTTATTGTATCTAATTTTATTTCTAAGTACGTAGGATATATAATACCAGTACAACCGTCTAAGTAAAGTGTAACTTAACTTTTTTTTTTACAATTTTACGTATTATTTGCAATCTAATTTAAACCTAGCATTGCCAAGCCACTTAATTTGGCCGATTGTACCCCCAAATACATTTAAACCAGTAGCGTGCCGTGGGTGTAAGGGCGGAGTGGGCTAATATTTTAAGGGCGACAATTTTTTTCATTTTATAAAAATTAAGGATTTTAAAATCAGGCACAAAAGTTATTATTACTCACATATGTACCTATTTAAAAAAAGTATATTCTGTAACAAGGTTGGAATACGGCATATTCCGCTCGAGTTAAACGTTTGTCACACGAGCCGAATGCGAGTTGAAGGTTTCACGAGAGCCGAATATGCAATTCCAAATGTGATTCAGACTATACTTTTTCAACGTTTCCAAAAAATACCATACAAATTGGGACAATGGATTGGTCTAAAAGTTGTTAGAAAATAATCCGGTGATTAATAATTCATTCGGTAACACATTTAAAAATTGTTAGAAAGGTCATATTCCGTAATGGGAGTAACAAAATATATTATGTGTTTATGTGTGCCACTAGTGGGAGAAAAAGGAGTTACCTCGAAAGTGGAATCCCCTCTTTTGACCAATAGTGGCACACAATATTTTATTTAAATACCGCAAGGAATTTAAAGCCAATTTAATTTGATATTTTATCACTTCTTGGCCTAGTGACCGAGCTAAAACTTATATCTATTGTTATGTAAATGAAGAAACTGAATTATTTGAAATTAAAATTGGTAAATATTCTTTCGTTGAAAGGCATTAATTATTGTCCTTTTGAATGATCCTTAACCCACAAAACATTTTATAATCATCAATACCAGTAGTGGCAGCACTAACTTTCAACAGGCGTCTAGTGACAGTGGTGCGACTGGTAAAATTTAAATTTTTAAAGTTTAAAATGCATTTTTTGAGAATATTTTATAAAATATATTAACCATATTTTGTACAATAGTTGAAACATTCTCACAAAAATGCATTTTAAACTATAAAAATAATTTTATAAAATATTTGTCCAAATTTTAAATTTTGGACTATACGGCACGCTACTGATAAATCTCTTGAATAAATATTTATGCTATATGTAAATCTCCTTTTAAAATACGAGTAAATGTTTTCTTAAATTGCTGGTTTGCTAACGCATAACAAAATGGATTAAGCGGACTATTAGCATAGCACAAAAAGTAAGAAAACATGTACAAATGGCCGTTGATACAGGGAGGTTCAGAGCAAAATCCTTCAACCAGTGCGAATATGTGGTACGGAGTCCAACATACAACGAACGCTCCGAGAATGAAAGAAATTGTTCTTAAAGCCTTTCTGGCCCTGTTTTCAGACTTAGACTTTTGCCTTCCGAAACCGCCCAAGGGACCCAACACCGGATTTTTACCCTTGATTTTTTTCTCAATGGTTTTGATAAAAACGTGTTTAGTGGTTTTAGTCGGCTGGTTTGTGTAAATTTTGTTTCTATTAACAATTGTGGTGGCCGCCATAATTGCAGCGGCATTTCCAGGCTGATTAACTGTATTGCCGCAATGTGAACTGGATTCGGAGGAAGAATCTGGTTTGTGTACTTTGGTGATTTCCAATTTAAGTTGGGATTCTTTGGATTCGTTTTCGTTGTATACAGTTGTTGTTATTTTTGGTGATTTTGGGGCCGCATCAATTTTGTCCATTTCCTTCAAATTTATAGTCTCGACTGGATCGATTTTAATTAACGGTCTTTGTTGTTTTTTGTTAAGTAAAATTGGTGAAAATGATTGAGAGGATTCATCCATAAAAGTCAAGTCTTCGTCGTTTACACCCACAAGTACATCGTAGGTTTTCTGGTTAAACTGATGTACGTCTACGAGCAAGCTGCATCTCTTCGAATTACCATTCGATTTTTTGCCAAATAAAACTTCTTCGCGAATAGTTTTCTTGCTTAAACTACCTTTAGAATTCCCCTTTACATTTCTTGGGGATACTTCCAAAAGATTAGGCTTTTCTTGTAATTTCTTACTTGGCCCTGGAGTGATTTCCTTAGCTGAATCTTCCGTTTTAACGTCGGAAAATATATGAAGAGGGACGCTACTTTGTACCATCATTCCAATTATGGAAGTTCTTTTATTTTCCTTAGAATTAAGTATTGGACTTCCCCCAACATTGCTGTCTTCGTCAGATTCAAAGGCAGGGCTGCTGGATCTCTCCCACTTTTCCTGTTCGGCAAAAGAAGTGACTGATGGGACTATTTTAGGCATATCATCAACTATATTGATGGGCGATAAGGGAGGCGAGTCCTTAGTATCTGACTGAATATCAGAAGTTTCTTGAACAGACAATTCCAAGGACGCTTTGGTTTGGAGAGGTGGCGCTTTGTTTGCATGTTTCTCTTCACTTAAAAAAGTACTCTGGGTTTTGGAAATACCTATTCCAGCAGCTCTTCCGGCCATTCCGGACATTGCTCCGGCGCTTAGGGCCACCATTGACTGCATTTTACGCTGTTTCGCCTCACTTTTTTTCTGCATATCGTACGCAGTCTTGTAAATTCCTCCATACAGTAGGAACAAGACGATTAAGGTGGTCCAGTAGTATCCAATAATCAAAGCTGTATTGAATATGGGATCTTTAAGAAATTGTACAGCGCATTCTCCTGGCTGTAGGTCCCTGTAACCTATAAAATGTTCCCATCCAAAAATACTTATAAAAAATAATAAAGCTGGAACAATCCAGGTCACAGTAACCATGCCTAAGACTTTGGATTTGGTCCTCCAGCCTCTGTACCTTGCTGCAATCTTTACGGAGCAAAACCTGTCGATTGTTATGAGCAGGACAGTGTATTGCGATACCAGGCATACAGTATAATCTACGGAAAGCCATAAATCGCAGAGAAGTGGACCCAGGTCCCAATATCCCATTAGTACGTATACGGTATAAAAGGGCATGGAAATTGTACCTAAAACAATATTTTATTAAAATGTCGTCTTAAACTTTTTTAAATAGTCAATTTTAATATGTTAAACCTCATTTAAGAGTTAATTCTTAAATTAGGTGTATTATTGTTTTAATTTTTTTAATTTTAAGCGAATCATTACTTTTTTATTGGGATTTCCTATAAAAATATTAATATGAGTAATAAATTAATATGAAAATTAAAAAAAAGAATTTAACTTAAATAAATGCTGTTATTAAATAATATTTACCATATTATGGTATAACTAGTACTACTATAATTCGTGATCTCAAAGGATTGCTCAATAAATAAAAATACTTGTATCAGAATTGATTATTTGCACAATTTTTAAACTATACGAGGTAATATTGTTTTGTCATATTATTTTAATTGGTGAAATAAAATATTTATAGAAAAAATAAGAATTAATTAAAGAATGTGTTTCGCGAATATAATATTCATATATAATAATAGGAGTAATCAAAAATATATGTCGAATATTTTGAGGTGTGATATAGCGAATATTGTTTTTGCTTGTATTGAATAGTAGAAGTGCGCAGCACGAGTACCTACCATTCGCAACAACAATCATATATCGCTATATCACACCTCAAAATATTTGACATATATTTTTGATTACGAGTGATATTCGACGGACCATTTTATTGAACCAAAATTTCAAAATTTTTAAATCAAAAGGCATCGAATTTGAGTTTTCCCAAAATATCGTGATCAGTTTTTGACAAATCAAAAGTTGAAAATATTGGACTAGTACAAATTGCAGCGAATTGACACATAAACCTCTCTGGTTGTTACATATGACATGTAAAAAATTGTCCTATAATATTATAGCAATTTATGCACAAAACAACGCCGTATTTTAAATCGCTTATATATATATATAATTATAATTTTGATGTACCATACATTTTTTTAGTTTATTACTAAAGACAAAATCTACTTGTTTACGTTAAACCAACTCATTAAAATTTAATATAAATGACAATTTAATCAACGATCGGTTCTTAATTAACTTGAATGAATATTTGTTTTGGATATTTTGAATTTTAATAAGTATACCTACTTCCTTGCTTGGTTAATAGTTTTTATTTGATACTAGTTTCAGTATTTTAAAATACCATCTTCAGGCAAACTACAAAAAAATGAGGTAGGTATTAATATAATATATAGTTAAAAATTTTCTTAAAAAGTTTAGAAAATTTTTAACTATATTGATACCTTCCTCATTTTTTTTGTAGTTTGCCTGAAGATGATATTTTAAAATACCGAAACTAGTAGCAAATAAAAACTATTAACCAAGCAAGGAAGTATACTTATTTAAATTCAAAATATCCAATATTCAAACCTTGTTAAAAATGGACTACAAAAACCTAATGAAAAATATTTTTTTATTTAAAGTATGTACAGGGTGTTTTTGAATAAATGGGACACCCCTCTAAAATCTTTATTTGAAAAAATATTAAAAAACAAAAAAACATCGGTAAAATTGATAAAATAGATAAAACTTTGTTTTTTTCCAATGGAACACCCTGTATGTTTTTGAATACTTCTCTAATTTCATTTATTATTGATTTTTAATAAAACGCTAATAATTGTTGCAAACGCCATGCTTATTTTAAAAAATATATAGGGTGTTTCATTGAAGAACCATGCCAATGTTATTTTATTAAATTTACCAATGCTTTTTGATTTTGAGTTTTTGTCAAAAAAAATTACTTTTTTAAACCATGCAAGTTGGATTTTAAATTTTTTTGATATCTCTTCTAATAAAGATTTTATAGGGGTTTACCATTTATAAGAAAACAGCCTGTACCTTTTATTTAAATAAAAAATATAGTTAACTTTCAATCAACTGCCGATTAAATATTAGTTATTTGTATAAACTTTTAAACATTGTTTAAGTAGACTTTAGTGTATAATTAAAATTTAACATGTTTGCATGTATTACAGAAAGTCACAAATTTTAAAATTAATTATTATTTTTATAATCCAAATAATATATTTACCAATTAATTTATTGAAATTAAACTAATTGTGGATAAACAATTTTTTAATTTAAATGAAAATTATTCTTAAAATAAAATGTTTTAACTAATTTAAGATTCTAGAACTACAGTGTTACCATTTGTCTAAAAATGTAGTCAATGACTAGAGTTTTATGATAAAATAAAAATATGGTATAAAAATTCTTAAGATCTTAAAATTATAGCTAAAGTAACAAAATAATGGATCAGTTTGTTATGCACCCACACAGAACTTTGATAGATATATACATTTAAATACAGATTGATTTTTAATTAGCTTTCCTACCTATAAGCATGTCAGTAGCAGCGAGTGAAGCGATAAAATAGTTGCTTGGTTGTCTAATATTCCGATCCACAATAAAAGCCAAAAGAACCAATATATTTCCGAAAACAGTCAAAATGATACACATCGCCAGAGCTGCGGCAATCAGTATTGTTTGCCAGAGCTGGAAAGGTGGAAGAACGGGCGATATTTTTTGCGAGTAACTTTCATTGGATCGTTCTGCGTAATTGTGTTCTCTCTGCAGGTCGTATTCATCCTGTGTCGTGTAGTTGAAATCGCCTATGTTTGTCCCATTCTGCATTTGTATACACTCAGCCAACGATAAAATTCCATAGAACAGGCTCTGGCAGACGCGTTCCTGTTGTTTTTGAATTTTCCTAAAATCATTAATATTTGAGTCCTATAAAATCAAAAGCGAACATGTCCAAGCACATTAGTGCTTAGCACAAATGTGCTAACCTTTATTACCTAATACTTTATACAATATTAGACAATAAAGGTTACCACCTTTTTCTTTAGCCCGTCCCCTTTTGATTTCGTAGGACTAATTTGTAATAATATCTTAAATGCACCCGAATTTATGGTAGTAGTCTAGTCACTTTTGGTTTACATATATAATAAGTTTTTAAACTTAAATAATTATTTATGTCATTACTCATTAGGCCATTATGCTCATTATATAATTACTCATTAGGCCAAAAGTAACTCTTTTTTGTGCTGAGCTAAAAGTTTGAAGGCCGGGGCATAGCGAAGGCATACAATAAGCATAGCACAAAAGTACGATTTTATTTACTAATTTAAACAATAAACGTACATACAAATATACGAGGTGTGTTCAGAAAGTAACGGGAATTGTTAAATTTCGCGGGTTCAGAGGGTCCGGTTGTCATAAAATTTTCTTTATTATGTTGGTATACATGCCCCAGAAGTATGATAAATACTTTAGCTGTTTTCATTTACTTTGTCTTTGGCAGCCGCTAAGGTTAGACGTGTTTTATAAGCTCGGCGATTTTTCGTTCGTTAAAAGAAATGGATCAAAGAATTTGTATCCAGTTTTGCTTAAAAAATTAAGTAAATTCTGTGAAATGTTAACAAAGGCCTATAGTGAGTCTGCTATAAGTAAAACAAGAGTTAACAAGTGGTATAAGAGTTTCCAAGATGGCCGTGAAGACGTTGTAGATGACGAACGTCCCGAACGCACAAGCACATTAACAACCGATAAAAACATGGAAAATGTGGAAGAAATGGTTATAAACCGTATCGTATAACGATTGGCTCACCCCATGAAATTTTTTCGAATGTTTTGGGTATGAAACCCGTGGCAGCAAAATTTGTTCTAAAATTGTTAAATTTTGAACAAAATTTTTGGCCAAAAACAATACTGTAATGATGCCCCAGTCTCCATATTAGCGAAACACTTCTAAAACTCGAAATTTGAGTATTGGAAGAAGAGCTGGCACATGTGCATAATATCCAATGGGGACTATTTTGAAGGCGACATCATTAATGTAGACGAATAAATAAATATTTGTTTCAAAAAACGAAAATTTCCAATATTTTCTGAACACACCTCCTATGTAGGTATGCTTAATATTTTTATATTATTTACTTAGTTTTTTTACGGTACCGTGAGTGCGATTTAAATTGTTGCTTATATAATAAGATGATGCGTTTTTATTACCAAATTAGTCAAGTTTAATACACTACCTTTGAGAGTAGTAAGAAACTGGGTAGGTGCTCCTTAAATGTTTAATAATATTAAGTTAAAAATGGCGAAGTTATTAACTATTATGTGCAGTAATAATGTTGCAGCTCAGACATTGAGAAAAAACAATTTATTATCAAACATTTTATTTAAATTAGGTATACCTACATTTGTAAAAGGAGATAATTCCCAATCTTTGACTTCCGACTAATAAAGGTATCCATAGCGTAGGGACCTTTATAAGATCGAAAAAATTAACTTTTACAAGAAGAGTAAAAATGAAAAGTAACCTAAAATAACAACACAATGTTTCCTGCTGATTCTTCCCTTAAATAACAAAAGTGACTAAACTACCACCACATAATTAAGTGCATTGTAATATTAATGCACATATTTGAAATCGCAATTCGAATTTATGGTTATTCATCACTACGAAATTAATTTAAATTTCGAATATTACGAACATATTTGCGATCATGCGCAAAGCGGAATGCGGAAGGAATCTACATCAGCCTGGATGAAAAGAACCGGATGACATGTGTGTTGAATTCCCGATATTATTCCCCCATTAATGTATTCGACCACATTCGATTATTTCACTGTGACGTATAGTTCTTACACCGACCGGGTTCACATTTCGTGAGGAACTAAATATAAATGAGAAGGTTTATTATAACTATTTAATTATTCATGGTCTTATCGATGGCATGGATTGATTATAATTTTTTGTATAAACGTATAATAGGCCATACATATTTGTTGACATACACAAATGTTTCTACTACTATTTTTAATACCTACTAAACATAAATATAAAAAGCAGGGCGGGCGCCAGGGGTGTGCGCCGACGGTATAGGTGCACCAAGTACCATATTTCACCCTGTACTAGGGATAGTACAAGTATCGGAAGTATCGGAAGTATCGAATCGGACTTAAAAAATTGATTCGAAAAAAAATGTTTAGCAAAAGTAAATCCAAGAAATTGTTTTAAAACATTATTTGTTTCATAAATTAGGATTTTCATAATAATTATTACAATTATTGTACATGCTAAATATTATGAAACACGTTTAGTTATTATTTATTTATTAAATTATATAACACAATTTATTAAAAAAAGTTAATTTATAGTAATTAAAAACTAAAGAATTGCTATTCAATTTCGTTTAAATAAGATTTATTCGTGCATAAATCGATATACAGATTGATATCGATCGAATTTTGCATATTTATCAAGAAAAAAATGTAGACTTTTTTTTAAATAAATAATCGGTTATGACCCCTGAAATATGCAAAATTTAAAAAATTATCAAGCATAAAAATTTGTAAAACTAATTTTCTTGTCAGAAATCTATTTTTCTGACAAAATCATAAAATTGGTAATGGACTAATGTATTCCTAACCCAAACAAACAAAATATTTAAAAAAAAACATGAAACGTACTTATGTACATACATATATATGTACTCGTATATTTTGTATAACTGCAAAACATTTATTTTTATTAGTAAATTTAATCCCCTACAATTATCGCATCATAGTTTCAGAGGAATGGAAATGGAAATTATAAATTATCTTTAAAGCATCGATAATTATTACCTTAGGAACTTTCTTGTACAAAACTTATTTAAGTAACCAAATTTTTTTTTAAAAAATTTTTTTTTACTTTACTTTGAAGTGCAATTGACGAGAGCCACCAATAATTTTTTCCTTTTGTATATTAGTCCAGGAAACAAAGATTGTAGAAGGAAAACTCGATGGTAGTCGGGGGTGCTGATAATGAATTAAGTATATTCCCTAAAAATTTCTTTTCGCGAAGGAGAGTTTTTTGCTTTTTGACTCATAACTCGCTAACCGTGCATTTTTTCAAAATGTGACCTCTAATACTTTTGATTATGTACTAACACACGTTAAACTCCATTGCGCACTTATATGATGTGGCCTTTTGCTATGCGCAGTGTGCAAAGTTGAGCGTTGCTTTTAAAATCACTTTTTTATAGCCCAATTTTAAAAGTAATCGATCCCAAACCTTACGGTAATCAAACATAACCGCATGGCCGATTTTTTGAGGTACTAGACTTTTTTCAAAAGTTACTTCTTTGTACAAGGGTAAAGAAAATCTTAGCCTTTGAAAATTATTTGGCTTCAACCTGAACTCCTCTCCTACTTGAAGGATTCTTTCTCTTAAATGATTTTCGCTCAAAATCGGAACCATATACACAAGATCTTTCATACATCCCCAGACTGAATAGTCCAAGAGGGTAAGGTCTGGGGAACGGGGTGGCCATTTAACAGGAGCATCTTTACCCCGACCAATCCATTGATTAGAAAAGATTTGATGTAAATAGTTTCTAACATTTCTATAGCTAAATGCGGAAGAACACCGTCTAGTTCAAACCAAATATTTTGTCTCACCAGTAGAGGCAAATCATCAAGTAAATCAGGCAGTGTATTTTAAAGAAATATCAAAAATGAATGACCAGTCAAATTTCCTGGTAAAATTACAGGACCCAAAAGAAAATTATCTACGACACCTGCCCCACATTGAATTTAAAATTTACTTGATGATGCGCCTCTACTATGGCTTTAGGATTTTCTTCTGCCCATGTGTGTGTGTGTGTTGAGAATAATTGTTAACCCGTTTCTTGCAAATGTAGCTTCATCCGTAAAATATGTCTGATAAAACGTATATCTCGGTTTTTCATTTTGCATAACCATCTACAAAGCTTCAAAGTCTTGAGGCAAAAGAGCCTGCACTTTTTGAATATGGTACCCTGGTACTAATGTTTGGTGTTTATTCGACAATCCTTAAAATGTCCTCCTCTTGTTCAGGTCGAATTACACGAGGTCGGCCGCAATTACCTCTCCGGTCTTCTCTAAAACTTCCAGTCTGCCTTAGACAGTTAACCAAATTAGAAAAATATCTCCTTTTTGGATGAAATAGGTTCGGAAATTTCTCTGCATAGCACCTAGCGGCTAAACTAGCATTGGAATTACATTTTACTATTCGAGAAAGGAAAATAAATGTTTACCATTTACGGCAAATGTATCTAAATCTTACCCATGATTAAAATCATATTCGTCATTTCCGAGAAGGGTACTAAATGTTCTCGTCTACGAACCATTTTGTTTCTTTTTATTTGCAAGAAGACTTCTAATTAATAAAAGAAACTTATAAATCTTTAAAAACACTGAATTAGCAACATTTAATTTGACAGTAAACAAATAGCGGCTCACTTCATTTAGAGTATCTGAAAATTATGAGATTGCGTAGGCATCAATCAAGGACCAATACTTTACAAATCATCTCTAAAAGAAATCATTTTATCAAAATTTTATAAGAGACAAAAAATAATCACCTACTTGAAAAAATAAGGTTTGAAGTCCCTGGCGCACGTACCTACTAAAAAATGGGGGGGTCAGTGAGTACTGGACCCCCCTCTTTTGATTATTTGACAATTGTTTTTTGTTTTGTTGTTCTCAAAAGAACTATTTATGTTGAAGAAGTGTACCGAATTTGAATTTAATGTTTTATCAATTACTCGAATTATTAAAAAAAATCAGTTTTAAATTTCAAACTTTGTCGCCCTGTATATCGAACATGAAGCTCTAAATTGAAAAATGGTATCATAAAAGTCATTGTTTTAACTAAAGGAATATATGGGTAACGGA